TTTCTTATCTGTTTTTTTATATTGACTAGAATGTTTAGAACAATCTGAAATAGAAAAAAATGATTATTATAAACACCTCAATCTATTCCCATATTTAAAGGAGTTTCTTATGTCACAAAGTAATATGAACTTAACTACCATTATCCTGTAGTTATTTCATATAAAGTAAAAATCCTCTGCTAAATTTTAAGAAAGTTTTATTTTCTTAATAGCTGGCCACTGAAAAATATCAAGTACATTTATGAATCTAATGAAGTAAATGTGTTCTGTCTTTTTTTTTCTTTTTTTTTGTATGTTATTTTTTTCTTATCAGTTACATTTTATTAACTCTGTACCCCAGCCGTGTCCCAATCCCTCATTCCCTCCCAGTCCCTCCCTCCCTTCCTCATCTCCACCGTGCCCCTTGCCAAGTCCACTGATAGGGGGGACCTCCTCCCCATTGATCTGATCCTGTTTTATCAGGTATCTTCAGGACTGGCTGCAAAGCTCTCCTCTGTGGCCTAACAGGACTGCTCATCCCTTGGGGGGTGGGGAGGCCAAAGAGCCAGTCATTGAGTTCCTGTTAGAAATAGTCCTTGTTCCCCTCACTATGGGAAACCAATTGTTTACTGAGCTACCACAGGCTACATCTGAGCAGAGGTTCTAGGTTACATTCATACTTGGTCCTTGGTTGCATGTCAGTCTCAGAAAAGACCCTGTGCCCAGATATATTTGGTCCTTGTGGAGCTCCTATCCTTTCCTCATCAGACTAACTCCCCTTCTTTCTTATGATTCCCTGTACTCTGCCAAAGGTTTGGTCATGAGTCTTTGCTTTGAAAACACTGCTAGTTAGAGTCTTTCCAATGTGCTCAGTAGACTCCTGTCAATGTTCAATGTGCATCCCATCTGTCTTTCAAAACGAGGATTGATAATCTTACCCCATGTCCGCTCTCTTGATTATCTTTTTTAGGTGTATAGATTTCATTATGTTTATTATATCTTATAGGTCTATATAAGTGAGTATATACTGTGTTTGTCTTTCTTCTTCTGGGATATTTCACTCAGGATGATCTTTTCTAGATCCCACCATTTGCCTACAAATTTCATGATTTCCTCCTTTTTGATTGCTGAGTAGTATTCCATTGTGTAAAAATACCACAATTTCTGTACCCATTCCTCCGTTGATGGACATCTGGGTTGTTTCCAGGTTCTGGCTATTACAAATAAAGCTGCTATAAACATGGTTGAGCAAATATCCCTTTTGTGTACTTGAGCAAACTTTGGGTATATACCTAGCAGTGGTATAGCTGGGTCTTGAGGAAGCACTATTCCTAATTGTCTTAGAAAGCGCCAGATAGATTTCCAGAGTGGTTGTACCAGTTTACATTCCCACCAGCAGTGGAGGAGGGTTCCCCTTTCTCCACAACCTCTCCAGCATGTGTTGTCCCTTGAGTTTTTCATTTTGGCCATTCTGATGGGTGTAAGGTGATATCTCAGGGTCGTTTTGATTTGCATTTCCCTGATGGCTAATGAGGATGAGCATTTCTTTAAGTGTTTCTCTGCCATTTGATATTCCTCTGTCGAGAATTCTCTATTTATCACCCTGCACAAAACTAAAGTCCAAGTGGATTAAAGACCTCAACATAAAACCAGATACTCTAAATCTGTTGGAAGAAAAAGTGGGGAACAGCCTAGAACTCCTTGGCACAGGAGACAACTTCCTGAACAGAACACCAACAGCACAGGCTCTAAGAGCAACAATCAGTAAATGGGACCTCATGAAACTGAACAGCTTCTGTAAAGCAAAGGACACTGTCATTAAAACAAAACGCCTGCCTACAGATTGGGAAAGAATCTTCACTAATCCTTTATCTGACAGAGGACTAATATCGAGTATATACAAAGAACTAAAGAAGCTGAAAAGCAGCAAACCAAGTAATCCAATTAAAAAATGGGGAACAGAGCTAAACAGAAAATAGCCATTTTTACTATGTTAATCCTGCCAAGCCATGAGCATGGGAGATCTTTCCATCTTCTGATATATTCTTCTAATTCTTTCTTCAGAGACTTAAATTTTTTTTCATACAAGTCTTTGACTTGCTTGGTTAGGGTTACACCAAGGTACTTTATGTCATTTGTAGCTATTGTGAAGAAGAAAAATTCTCAACTTCATATGAAATAACAAGAAACCCAGATTGCTAAAACAATCCTCTACAATAAAAGATCTTCTGGAGGTATCTCCATACCTGATCTTAAGCTGTACTATAGAGCAACAGTTATAAAAACTGCATGGTACTGGCATAGAAACAGAATGGTGGATCAATGAAATCGAACAGAAGACCCAGAAATAAACCCACACACTTATGGACACCTGATCTTTGACAAAGATGCCAAAACCATACAGTGGAAAAAAAGATAGCATCTTCAACAAATGGTGCTGGTTTAACTGGATGTCTACATGTAGAAAAATACAAATAGGTCCATACTTATCACCCTGCACAAAACAGAAGTCCAAGTGGATCAAAGACCTCAACATAAAACCAGACACATTAAATTGGTTAGAAGAAAAAGTGGAGAAGACCCTAGAACTTATTGGTACAGGAGAAAACTTCCTGAACAGAACACCAACAGCACAGGCTCTAAGAGTAATAATCAATAAATGGGACCTCATGAAACTGATAAGTTTTTGTAAAGCAAAAGACATTGTCTTCAAAACAAAATGACTGCCTACAGATTGGGAAAGAATCTTCACCAACCCTTTATCTGAGAGAGGGCTAATATCCAGCACATATAAAAAACTAAAGAACCTGAAAAGCAGCAAACCAAGTAATCCAATTAAAAAATGGGGAACAGAGCTAAACAGAGAACTCTGTAGAGGAATATCAAATGGCAAAGAAACACTTAAAGAAATGCTCAACATCATTAGCCATTAGGGAAATGCAGATCAAAACAACCCTGAGATTTAACCTTACACCCATCAGAATGGCCAAGATGAAAAACTCAAGTGACTACACAAGCTGAAGAGGTTGTGGAGAAAGGGGAACCCTCCTCCACTGCTGGTGGGAATGTAAAGTTGTACAACCACTCTGGAAAACAATCTGGTGCTTTCTCAGACAATTAGGAATAGCTATTCCTCAAGATCCAGCCTTACCACTTCTAGGCATATATCCAAAAGAAGCTCAAGTACACAATAAGGACATTTGCTCAACCATTTTGTAGCAGCTTTATTTGTAATAGCCAGAAGCTGGAAACAACCCAGATGCCCCTCAACTGAAGAATGGATGCAGAAATTGTGGTACATCTATAAAATGGAGTATTACTTTGCAATGAAAAATAAAGAAATCATGAAATTTACAGGTAAATGGTGGAACCTGAAAAGGATCATCCTGAGTGAGCTGTCCCAGAAGCAGAAAGACACACATGGTATATACTCACTTATAAAGACATATAATATAGGATAAAGCTAATAAATCTGTACATCTAAAGAAACTAATCAAGAGAGAGGACCCTGACTAAAATGCTCAATCCCCATCCCGAAAGGCAAAGAGGATGAACATCAGAAGAAGAAAACAGGAAACAAGTTAGGAACCTGCCACAGAGGGCCTCTGAAAGGCTCTGCCCTGCAGACTAGCAAAGCAGATGCTGAGACTTCTGGCCAACTGTTGGGCAGAGTGCATGGAATCTTATGAAAGAAGTGGGAAATAGTAAGATCTGGAGAGGGCAGGAGCCCCACAAGGAGAGCAATAGAACCGGAAAATTTGAACACAGGGGTCTTTCCAGAGACTCATACTCCAACCAAGTAGCAGGCATGGAGATAACCTAGAATCCCTGCACAGATGTAGCCCATGGCAGTTTAGTGTCCAAGTGGGTTCCATAGTAATGGGAAGAGGGACTACCTCTGACATAAACTGATTGACCTGCTCTTTGATCACTTCCCCCTAATGGGGGAGCAGCCTTACCAGGCCACAGAGAAAGACAATGCAGCCACTCCTGATGAGATCTGACAGACTAAGATGAGAAGGAGGGAGAGGAGGACCTCCCCTATCAGTGGACTTGGGGAGGGGCATGTGTGAAGAAGGGGGAGGGAGTGTGGGACTGGGAGGGGAGGAGGGAGGGGTTTATGGGGGGATAAAAAGTGAATCAAGTGTAATTAATAAAATTAAATTAAATTTAAAAAAGGACACAAGACAAGCAATCATGCATGCTTACACATATCCACACAAAGTCACACATACACATACAGAGACACACATGTACACACAAACACATACATACACAGACACATGCACTCATGCTTCCATACACACAGATACATACTGACACTAATGCTAGAGAGGAAGGAGTGGACATTGATAATCTCAGCCATTAAAAATCTTTCTATACTGAACTTTCAAGCCTGCCTGTTATTCATTTCTCTCAGTTGTCTTGACATTACAGAACTTACATTAATCTTCTATGCTCCAATAGATGCCCCACCCCACCCACAGATGGTCAGCTCTAACTGACTCAGGGGTATAACAACAACATAATAGTAATCGTAATAACAGTAGAAGAGGACATGGCATTGGGAGAAAGAAGATTGTGTAGATATTGAGGAAAGTTGGAGTTAATGGGGAACAAAATACATATATAAAAATTTCAAATATGTGAAATACACTGCTAAAAGAAGAAGTGTCCGGTAGATAATTTCATATGTGATAAATCAGGGAAAATAGAGTAGGAGATGAGAGATGGGATAATCAGTGAAGCATAAAGGCTTTGAGAAATAGCTATCCTCAGGGGTACTTCAAGTCTTTGAATGGACCACCCACGCACCTACCAGAGCAATTATTTATTTCCGTTTCTCCTCTGTAGAGGATCAATGCTCACTTTTAAAAGGTGGTCCTTTGAGCAGTGACGAAGAGAGTGGTGTCAGCACAAGGTCATGCTCCATCTTGGGGAAACAGGTCCTAGAGACTTCAGCTTGGGCTTCTCATGCTCGCATAGGGTTTCTACAAATGAAGCCTCTGCCGCATCTTGCCATGGCCACCAGGCTCATTTTCTGCATGGTCCTTTGTTTCTTGAGAGCAGGTGAGTTTCCAGAAATAAAGAATCTGCAGTTTTGGTCATTGCTTGACATGGTTTCAATTACTTTCTTTGTTCTCTACTCTCTGCTCTTTTTTCAGAACCAACAAATGCTGGAGTCACTCAAACACCCAGGCACAAGGTAACAGTGAAGGGACAAGAAGTAACTCTGAGCTGTGAGCCAATTTCAGGACACAGTAGTATTTCCTGGTACAGACAGACCACTGTGCAGGGCCTGGAGTTCCTGATTAACTTTCGCAACCAGGCTCCTATAGATGATACAGGGATGCCCAAAGAACGATTCTCAGTTCAGATGCCCAGCAAGAATCTCTCCACCGTGAAGATCCAGCCCACACAACCCCAGGACTCAGCTGTGTATCTGTGTGCCAGCAGCTTAGCCACAGAGCCTCAGAATCATATCCTGCCAGGGCAGAAACCACATGCTCCCTGTTCTCTTTCCATCTCTCAGAATCAGTTCTCAACAGTGATCCTGAGGTCTTCTCACAACAGGAAGGATGTGGGTCTAGTATCTTCTCTGCCCTGAAACAAGACAAGAGCAGAGAGTATCACATAAAAAAAAAAAAAAAACACTTTGGTAGGAAGGAATATAGAGAAAGGTGTGTGTGGGATGATGAGCAGGCAGAGTTGGTTCATAGGATTCCTCATGGGTTTTCACAAGGATGAATGAGTTTATGATTAAGTGTAAGTTTTTTTTTAATTTTTGTTTTTTTCTAATTAGTTACATTTTATTAACTCTGTATCCCAGCTGTATCCCACTCCCTCATTCCCTCCCAATCCCACCCTCCCTCCCTCCTCTCTGCCCTTCCCCTTTCCAAGTCCACTGATGGGGGGACCTCCTCCCCATTCATCTGACCCTCTTTTATCAGGTCTGCAAAGTCCTCCTCTGTAGCCTAACAGGACTGTTCCTCCCTTGGGGGGTGGGGAGGTCAAAGAACCAGCCACTGAGTTCCTGTTAGAAATAGTCCTTGTTCCCCTTACTATGGGAAACCAATTGTTTACTGAGCTACCACGGGATACATCCAAGCAGAGGTTCTAGGTTATATGCATACATGGTCCTTGGTTGAATGTCAGTCTCTGAAAAGACCCTGTGCCCAGATATATTTGGTCCTTGTGGAGCTCCTATCCTTTCCCCATCATACTAACTCCTCAGAGCAACAGTAATAAAAACTGCATGGTATTGGCATACAAACAGAAAGGAGGATCAATGGAACCGAATAAAAGACCCAGAAATAAACCCACACACCTATGAATACTCGATTTTTGACAAAGAAGCCAAAACCATTCAATGAAAAAAAGACAGCATCTTCAACAAATGGTGCTGGTCCAACTGGATGTCTACATGCAGAAAAATGAAAATAGATCCATATTTATCACCCTGCACAAAACTAAAATCCAAGGGATTAAAGACCTCAACATAAAACCAGGTACTCTAAATCTGTTAGAAGAAAAAGTGGGGAACAGCCTGGAACTCATTGGTACAGGAGACAACTTCCTGAACAGAACTCCAACAGCACAGGCTCTAAGAGCAACAATCAATAAATGGGACCTCATGAAACTGAATAGTTTCTGTAAAGCAAAGGACACTGTCATCAAAACAAAACAACTGCCTACAGATTGGGAAAGTATCTTCACCAACCCTTTATCTGACAGAGGGCTAAGTCTAAGTGTTATTCAGTGGGCTTCTCATATGATCATGTGAGCTGAAGAATGAGTAGTCGGGCAGATACTGACTTGTTCAGCCTGTGTTGCTTTCATTACAGCTTAGTCACCAGTTTTTGTCTCCTCTCCTTAAATATACCCAGATTCCATGTCACAAGAGGTAGCCCATGCTTGATACTGTCTAGACGGCCAGGAACAAGAGGATTAATAGCTCAGAGATCTAGTATAGACCAAACACAATTGGCAAAATAAAATCTCAGTGAATTTGAGCCTCTTTTAGATATATGCCTAGGAATGGTATAGCTGGATCTTGAGGAAGCACTATTCCTCATTGTCTGAGAATGCACCAGATTGATTTCCAGAGTGGCTGTACAAGTTTACATTCCCACCAGCAGTGGAAAAGGGTTCCCCTTTCTCCACAACTTCTCCAGAATGTGTTGTCACTTGAGTTTTTGATCTTGGCCATTCTGGTGGGTGTCAGGTGAAATCTCAGGGTCATTTTGATTTGCATTTCCCTGATGGCTAATGAGGTCAAGCATTTCTTTAAGTGTCTCTCTGCCATTCTATATTCCTCTATAGAGAATTCTCTCTTTACCTCTGTTCCCCATTTTTTAATTGGATTACTTGGTCTGTTGCTTTTCAGCTTCTATAGTTCTTTATATATACTGGATATTAGCCCTCTGTCAGATAAAGGATTGATGAGGAGGCTCAAGTACACAATAAGGACATTTGTTCAACCATGTTTGTAGCAGCTTTATTTGAAATAGCCAGAAGCTGGAAACAACCCAGATGCCCCTCAACTGAAGAATGGATGCAGAAATTGTGGTACATCTACACAATGGAATATTACTCAGCAATGAAAAACAAGGAAATCATGAAATTTGTAGGTAAATGGTGGTACCTGGAAAGGATCATGTTGGTATAATGTTCTTTTAAAATGTATATGCCTTACCCTTGTTAATTCAAATGCTGATTTCTACCCCAACTGTCTGGTTTCAATCTGGATATTGTGTTGTGATACTCATTATAAGCATCCTGTCTCAACTCTTGTGTAAACAGGACAAAATAAAGCAACTAGATACAATGTTGTGCAATGGGAGGAGCCAGAGGACAGGAAAGAGGGGAGGAGCTAGAGAGCAGGAAAGGAGTGAGAGGAGAAGGGGCAGGAGGAGAGTGAGGAGAGCAGAGCTGGAAGAGAGATCTTGGAGGACGTGGAGCATGAACCAGACCTAAGATTTCACAAAAAACAAGTATATTGTGGGAAATCTAAATGTTAGGAAACTGAGGGCTTAGAGGTTTAGGAGGGAGTAAATATTGCCCAGCACTGTGTTCTATGTTAACTAAAAACCCAGTTTCTGTGTGGTGATTTGATTATACAGCTGTTTAAGATTAGCAGCAAGCTTTACCAGAAGATAAACCGATAGTAAATATTAATCGCCGCCTACAACAGGATCATCCTGAGTGAGCTGTCCCAGAGACAGAAAGACACACTTGGTATATGCTCACTGGTATAGACATATAATATAGGATAAAGCTAATGAATCTGTACATCTAAAGAAACTAATTAAGAGGGAGGATACTGGCTAAAATGCTCAATCCTCATCCCGAAGCGCAAAGAGGATGGACATCAGAAGAAGAAGAAAACAGAAAACAAGTTAGGAACCTGCCCCAGAGGGCCTCTGAAAGGCTCTGCTCTGCAGACTATCAAAGCAGATGTTGAGACTTATGGCCAACTGTTGGACAGAGTGCATGGATTCTTATGAAAGAAGAGGGAGATATAAAGATCTAGAGAGGACAGGAACTCCACAAGGAGAGCAACAGAATCAGAAATATTTTAACACAGGGGTCTTTCCAGAAACTCATACTCCAACCAATTACCAGGCATGGAGATAACCTAGAACCCCTGCACAGATGTAGCCCATGGCAGTTCAGTGTCCAAGTGGGTTCCATAGTAATGGGAAGAGGGACTGCCTCTGACATAAACTGATTGGCCTGCTCTTTCATCACCTCCCCCTGATGTGGGAGCAGCCTTACCAGGCCACAGAAGATGACAATGCAGCCATGTCTGATGAGATTTGATAGACTAAGATCAGAAGGAAGGAGAAAAAGACCTCCTCTATCAGTGGCCTTGGAGATGGGCACGCTTGAAGAAGGGGGAGGGAAGGTGGGATTAGGAGGGACTGAGGGAGGGGTTTATGGGGGGATACAAAGTGAATAAAGTGTAACTAATAAAAGTGAAAAAAAAAAGAAAAAAACTCAGTGAAAATGATTCATGGTGATGCTCGGCTCTACTCATAGATCAGTGTCCAGTCCAATCACCATCAGAGAGGCTTCGTCCTGCAGTTGATTGGAACATATGCAGAGACCCACAGCCAAACATTATGTTGAGCTCAGGCAACCCTGAAGAAGGGGAGAGAAGATTATAGGAGCTAGAGAGACATCTGCTTGTTTCAGAAGGAAAACAAAAGAATGGATCTGAGGGAGAGAAGAGCTGTGTGTGTGAGAGATAGAAGGCTGGATGGACTGGGAAGAATGGATGGAGGAAAACTGCAGGTGGATGTAATGTATGAAAGACATATATATATATTCATTATATATGTGTATGTTATATATTATATATATATATGTATATCACACAATATGTTTTGAAGGACATCAATGGAGATGGACAAGTGAGGCCATAACAAACAAAATAAAAACAACATTCTTTCAGTGGCTTCCACTGGCTTCCAGTTGCTTCCAGTGGCTTCCAGGATCTAGGTGACACTTTCACTTGATATTATGTCCTCACTTGTCCATCTCCACTGATGTCCTTCAAATTAGCTCATATATTCATTTCCATCCTCATATTTTTTGCAACCCGAATAGTGCTTGACTTGAGTCACTTTTACATAGTCCTTTCCATTTTTGTACATGTTTCTTACTTTTCTCTTTCACCTCTCTGATACTGAGACTATATCAGTTATTCACCTTGTCTGGAAACTGCTGAATGTAAATATAATTTTTTCTTTCCCTATACATTTCATGTTCTAAGAAAATTATGAATTTTTTTCATTCATGTACTCAAGGAACACATTTTTTTCTATCATCTTTTTCTTACCTACAAAGAAAAGGAGTCCTTTCTGTACTCCTTTGCATAACTCAAATATCCTAAATAGGTCTTTTATCCTTGGCAATCAGCATGGTAACTGCAGAAGATGTCTTGAGATATGTAAATTCATGTACACATGGGAAGTTGTTCATATTACTTTTGTCAAAACATTTTCTATTTTTGTATTTGCTGCTTGCATATGTGCATCAAAAACTTTTGACAGTTATAAAAAATTAAAGATATAAAATAAATGAAAATAAAAATGTAATGTATATTATAATTTTTCTTTTCAAGTGCATAAAGAAATCAAAAGCAAGATGGTCATTTTCCTCATTCCTTGGAGAGATAAGCTACATAAACTGTAAAGGGAGAATACTTTGCAAAATGCTCTACAAAATAATACAAGGAATATGAGCTTATTTAAGAAAAGAACAAATCAATAAATCATTAGAGGTCCTTGTTGAAGTCCATACACACTTTCATAAAGAAGGAGAAAATTGTACAATACATTTCTGGTTAACTGGAAGAACAGAAAAAATAATCAGTATTATCTTACTCTACTTGTTTTTCTTTCTAAGTTTGAAACACTATTTACCACCAACTTTAAATGTAAAAGTAACACTATAGACAAGTAATGTAAAAATAAAAAAACAATTTTCATTCTTTTAAAAGAGATAATTGGCAAGCAGAAATATAGACAAAGCTAAAATCCTAATAACCTATGTATTCAGGCCAAATGTGAGCATCACAGTTGGAGTTGAAATTTTAGGGAC